GGGGGGGGGGCGTTGCGCATTGCGCATGTCGGGGAGCTAATAAACGACAGTAGTATCGGGATTTCTCTGCGCGTCACGATTCCGGAACTCCAAGTATGGTCCCACGAAATCCCGCTTCTCCAAGGGACATACACATGGCTATGGAATCCTGTCACGCTTGACTGTTTGCCGTTGTCCGTGTCTATGTACCGAAAATTATTCAGTGCTGTTATTGCTTTATATAAGTTTATTCCTGGACTGAATACATGTTAATTATGGGTGTATCCTGATGGTTCTGGATACGATTCCATGACAATTTTCATTAACATTTGGCAGAGATAGTTGTTTGCGGTAAGCTTTCGCCATCAAAGGATCTGAAGCACCTTTTATAGCTTTTAGCTCGCTCATCATATTAAAAAAAAACTCATCAAAAAGCCATTTTGGAAGATCATAAATCAGCATCCAATGAAAGGCATATTAAGCCTTTCATAACGTGATAACAATCTCGCTATACAGAGAAAAGGTTATGTAACTGCTCAAAGTGAGAAAGTCTGTATAGTTCTGTCAGACGTGTTTTATAACCTATAAAAGTCATTATATTCCATTACTGAAACAGATTTATTCGTACTTCCTCCCACATAAACAATACTATCGTTAATGGATTTAGTTTCTCTTGGGTTCAAGATAATTATCTCCTTAGGTTGCTCATTCATTCACCCAAGGCTTTTCCGAGGAATCACTAATACCATTAGTACATCTCTGTGTCAGCGAGGTTCATCGTTGCATTTTTCTCTGACCAAGCATTGACACTGGTCGCATAATTGCAATGAAATCATTTGAATGCAAGATCGCATCGTCAAGACAACACAAAGCCGTCGTGAGTGGGTCTTTCCGGGATGGCACAGGCAAATAACACTCAAAGGACCATGGTGTAGACAGGCCCATTGACTGGGTCCCGAATCGAGACGCAACAAATGAACACGTACAGCCAAGTCCGCAATGCAAAACGTCGCACTCTTACATTATGATGGACCGCATGCCTTCAAACTCAAACCTGACGTCATCTATAGACCTGCTACCAGCCATATTCATGTTGAATACACGTTGCCATATACCTTATTTAATTCCCTTAGGGGCCTCCTCTGATTTCTCCACGTAGTAGTTCCACATCGTCGACAAGCTCTCCGAGCGGCTGTCCATAGCATTGAGGCGTCTTCTCAAAGCCTCATTGTAGCAAATCTCCTGGGCCACGGGGAAAAATGTTGCAGGCCATTCCTTGCTGAACTGCTGGCACTCCCCGACGATTTCAGTCAACTCGGCCTGCTGCACTTTGTTCTGCATGGTGAATTGCTGGAATGTGTCTTCCCCGATAAGCCCGTTCTGATACAACCTATTGAATACGCCCTCGTTCTCCTTTAGTTTCAACGACCGGCGGATGGCCTCCACGGCACGTCTCAACAACGCAGCCTTCACGGCTTTCTCGGGGGGTTTTTCGTCTTTAGGTAACAGGTTATCATAAAACTTGTCTTTGATCATAACGTACAAATCCAAGGTATGATTAGGGCCGAATAGCGGCTCGATTCCAATAAGCTTGCGGAGCCTATGACGCCTGTAGAGCACAGAGAAAATGGTGAAGGCAGTCACCATCACGGCCACGTACGCCAATGGCGTGTACACAGAAATTTTGAGCACTTGCTCGATCTTTTCTTCCTCAGCCATTTGGTTGGAGTTCACTGAAGTAAAAGGCTGTTGGAACTATAGACACGTGAACTTACTTGAGCCCAATGGTAGACGCGACGGTGCACTGGTGTTCAACAGCGCATGGTCAACCTGAGCAGACGAAGTGCTACCCTTCACCCATCTTTTTGCATCCCATACGTAAAATGTTTTTTTTCGGAACAATATTTGATTGTACAGAGATTAAGATCCAGTTTCGCTAATATTTTCCAGGGAATGTCTCTCTCGAAAAGTGCTCGCCTATGTTTTCTGTGTTTTCTTCACTTCTTCGCGGCAAGTATCTTTGATCATTGTGCTGTATTGTGCCCGATATTTCATATTTCAGTTCCTTAAAAGTGGCCATAGTTAGAGACTCGAGTCTCCATCTTTCCATATATCCGTGTACTTTGCTGTCCTTATCGCGCCCCAACTTAGAGATATCTTACGTTTATCACCCGGTGTCGTTCTTTATCGATGTTACTGAAACGATCATATTCTGATCAGTTCTCATGAGTACTTGTATCATGATGACATTCTCTCTCAGACCATCTTTGACTTCTCCGAATTGATTCGAACTCCATGTGAATTGAAAGCAATACTAAGACGTCCCGCAAGTTTCTCGTTCTTCCACTGCAGGAATAGAAATACCAGGGGAAATTTTACTAAATGTTCACATTACCTTGTCTCTAGGGAAGGTTTGAAAACTTCTATTGAATATAGTCAGCTGACGAGCAGCTTGATCAAAAGTAAGACTGCATTTAATTGATATTTCGCTGCACTATTTATGCTAAGTCACTGTCTGATTACACTAATGGGCGCCCTGTGCTGAAGACAAGTTATACTGGTTCAGAAATGGCCCCTGTGACGTGTGGCTCACGCTTGAAGACACTTTCTCGTGAGCGATGGGAAAGGTTTTCGAGTCAGAATTGGAGGCAGAACCATGGGTTGAATTGGTGAAACCAAGGCTGACCAATCCTCCACTCGATCTGCGTTTTTGTCCAAGGCCAACTTGTGACAAACGTCTTTGGCAAAGCTGAGCGACAAACCGGCCATCTTGATCACAGATGGATCCAGTATAGGCATCGACACTCAATTGATGCGCCGCCAAAATATCTTTGCGGCCCTTCAAGCTAGCGATAGCATCCTGGGCAAGCACCTGTGCACGGTCAGTGTCAGGCTCGCCCAGAACAGTCACCTCAGTGTACGACGCATCCTTACCTGGCAGTTCATTCCGGTGCGAAAAGGAATGCTTCCTAATCTCCGAGCTGTTGGGATCAGTCAGAGACCCGCGGGGACTTGAGCTGTTTAATTTTTGCAGCTGGCTATGGTCGGGGGACCCAGAAACATTGCCCAAATTGCCCTTCTCGGCCTGGTGCTCGAGGGTATGTTTGACTCTCTCGTGACCCGCATGATTGCCACTTCCATCAATCTCTTTCTGCGAGTCATTGAAAGACGCATCTGGTTGACCATGGCCCGCAGGATTTTGAACGTTCAAAATCGACTCACCGCCCTTTGTTTTGTAAACTTCTTGTTTGTTGGCATCAACCACAATCTTACTGCCAGACAAATTCTCACCCCTGTTCAACAATTCACGAGTAGTTTGCTGTGCTACCTTTTGGGCGTCCTCTCTTTCAGGTATTCCAATTACTTCAATCAACGGACGATCCTGTTCTTGCTGACCAGACTTCTTGGGTGATGTAGCAGTTCCGCTATGCTCACCTCTTGATGACACAGCGGTGCCAGAGCCCATACCACGGGGTTGACTCAGAGACGAGCCCCGACTATGACCGGCTTGGTAAGCAGCCTCTTCAATCTCCTTGCTCTCGTCTGTGGGTTTTCCAGTGGCCGCCCCAGTCACAGGGTGAGAATAGGAGCTGACTCCTGTAGCACCAGCAAGCTGAGCAGCCTGCTCAATTTCCATACTTTCTTGTCTGGACTTGCCAAGCGCGGCTTCAATGACTGGTTGCGAGCGAGAAGCTCGACCTGAAGTTGACCCCCTGCCTGCACCAGCAGCGAAAGCAGCATTTTCGATTTCCATACTTTCTTCTCTTGACTTGCCCATGGCAGCATGAGCAACTGGTGGTGCATGCGATCCCTTCCTAACAGAACCACCAGACTGAGCAGCATCCACGCTCGTGCTGTCTAGTCTCGACACAGTGGAGCCTTTAGTCAAAGGGTCGATTGGATCTTTTTCTTTGTCAGATCTGGCATTTCTGGAACCTGTAGCAAATGGGCTCTTTTTCACTTGAGTATCGTTCTTAAGCCTGTCAGTTGCAGAGTCTCTGGCCTCGCTACTCTCACGGTCACTTTTCTTGGCTGGATCGTTCATGGATTCACGTTCATCTTCCTCGTTTTTTTGGTGAGCTGGTTGTTTCTTGATCTCAGGAAATTGCTCTTCGGCTGCCTCAACCAAGCTTTTACCTTGTGTGAAGCCATGTTGCTTGTTGTACGCGGCGATGTCGGCCTCCAATTTGGTGTTATCCACGCCCGAGGTTTCAGCTTCACTGGACTTATCCTTCGTTGGGTCTAGCTCATCGGCGACGGTTTTGTTTTTCTGCTCGTCATCCTGCAAGACACCGCCTTTAGTCTTGTGGCGTGGTTCCTTTCTCACATCATCATATCCCGACGCAGCTTCTTCAACCAATGAATCGATTTTACTGTTTTTCTCACTGCCCATTTGAGATGCACCTGTAGCAGAAGAGAGATTCCCAGAGCCAGATTTGCTTTTGTCGGGAATCTTCTCGCTATCATGCGAAGCAGAAAACCTCTTAGAATCTTTGTCTTTCGCCAATGCTGCTGCTCCAGATGTGGCAGTGGAACCAGGATGCTGCATACCTGAAGCAGTGGCAGATGGTTTGGTTTTGCCATCGTCCTTTTGTTTCAAAGCAGGCTTTTCCGTGGCAACCAGGGTCGATCTATTGATTTCACTTTGGTCAACATAATCACCCTTTGATGGTTCTTCACTGACTTGGTTCTCGTCAACATAGAAGTCTTTGTATCCTTCGTACCCAAAACCACTGGCCGCAGCTATGCCAGCGGAAGCAATTGCTGCTTTGGTAGAAACCAAATAGCTGCTATCTCTGGAATGCTTAGATGTATCACCCGTGTCATTCAACTTAACGCCAGATCTGTCAGATTTAGCTTCGAGCGGCTGGGTGTTGGTGCCCCCAGAATGACCAGCACTGTAAGCCGCACCGTCAATCTCAGGAGACTTCTGAGCGACAGTGTTTAATTGAAGAGGCTGGCCAGTGGTAGAATTGTTGCCCCCAGATGCACCTCCCAAAGCCTCGATTTCCTTTTGAGTTTGTTCAATACTCTGGTCGAGACGCTTGATTTCCAGGCTGTAGTCAGAAGACTTGCTTCTAGACTTACGACGTGTAAGATCGGCAGCAGCAGAGATAGGAGTGGTGAAATGATTTCCTTGTTGGCCGGTTGATGGATGTTGGCCGCCCGCTGGATCCAAGGTCTTCTTATCCGACTGACGATTGGCAGCAAATCCAGCCCCAACACCAGTAGTGTCACCGACACCTTCACCCACATACTTAGAAGAGCCATCCTTTTCAGAGTTATTTGGAGATTCTTGGCTGGAGGTCTCATCAGAATACTGATATTGAGATGACTTCAAGGCGCTCTGGTCACGTCCGTACTTTGCTTCAGCCGTAGCACCAGTCAATCCACCTTCATTAAATGCAGATTTGTTTTTACTGTGCTCACTCTTGGGGTCAACCGATTTGGAGAGACTTGAGCCGTGGTTCTCCTGGGTGTAATCTTCGCCTTTCTTGGCATCATTGAGACCCTTTCTGCGGCCAGCGTTGTAAGCGTCGGTCTCCACTTTTTCGGCTTGCTTCCTTGCTTTTTCTTCCTCAGCATAAGCTGTTGGTTTGGTCTTCAAATTCTTTTGCTGAAGCTGAGCATGGGTGGCCTCAGTGTCTTCCCTATATTCGCCTTTCGAAACACCCCCAGGAAGACCTGAAGAGGCGGCTGCAGCTTGGACGCCAATAGGCACGTGATCCTTATTGGTGGATTCGTTTTGATCTATTGGAAGACCAGTCTTGTAAGTTCTGCCCTGAGTGTCATTTGGATCAAAGAACTGGCCCTGTCCCTTTGCGATTTCAGCACTATTGTCGTAGCGAGGATAGCTGTTGTCGATTAATCCTTTTTCGTCTTTTGGCTTAGAATTATAGGTAGACACCTCTGTAGGGTTTTTACCATTGGCATAGTCGCCTCCATAAGTATGATCCAATGGTTTTCTTTGAACTTCCGGGGGATGTGACACGATTTCACCTTTAGAGCTAGAAATCTTTTCCTTCGAATAGTCGGATTTCCGGCTTTCAGAAGCTTCAGAAGCAGAATTTCCGTGCGAGTTCGAAGATTTCACGTTTCTAGCACCAGCAGCGTTGTCATGATAAACCTCTTCATCACTTGAAATGGAACTGGAGGTCAGACTTGGGACAGGCAATTTTTCAGCATCTGACTCAGCCTTTTTGTGGCCTGCACGGTTCAGGGCATGCATGATTTTTTCTTCTTTCTTCTCCTTGTTGAAAAGCTTGCCAATGAATTTGCTTCCTTGACTCATTCTTAGAGTTGTATTTCAAGCGTGGTTGGTACGTTGCGGTTGCGAAATTGGTTTCAGACAGACAGTTGTCTCTGATACTTGGGTTCGAATTTGCAAGTGTGGCGTTTTTAATAATAGGACAGCACGTATTTTAGCTGTCGATTATTGTTTTTGATTCTGAAGATCGATATGAGAAAATGTGTGGGCTTACTTGGTTTAACTTATAGTGTGGAGTCAGACCTGCCCCACAGCAAGCAATACCAGAACCATCATTTCCGGTGTGCACACAGACATGTAGGAGCGCATGGATTGCAAAATAACCATGGCATAGTTGCTCCGCAATTATCCTTACCAATCCATGTCAAATGAGATTCCGTCAATAGTCAAAAGTTGAAATATCACATTTGGAAAAACTGGTCGACATGGGCTCCTTATTCCAATGGCCTAAGTTGACCTTTTCTTTTCAAAGCTACACTATTGCCTGAACCCTGCACTCAACTGATTTAGAAAGACGTTGAAGAACTCAAGACCACTCTTCAAATTGAAGTTTTGATGACTATGCAACGAACAAAATTGGGTCAGGAAAAGTTCGGTAATAGAGATCTCCTTCATCATCGCAACTGACGTCAAGACTCACGAAAAGCATGCGCCCTGGTGCGCACACAAATCTCCCTGACCCATACGTAGAATTTGAGCCCTGATGTAACCTGTACGCGAATGTCTGAAACACCGCAACTTAAAGTAGTGCCACTTTGAGTGTTTTTTTTTTTTTTGACGACACGTCCAAATGTTTGACTACTGAGCGGTGTGAAGAGTTTTGGGGCCCTTTACATGGCTAGGCAAATTCTCGCACACATCGAAACACGGCTTGCGATAATAAATAAGTAGAGTTCTGACAAGGATTGTTTGCTCACTGCGTCGGTGTGCAATTGATTCTTCACTTCGCAGAATGGAATGCAGGCTATCAAATTAAATCTCATAGCAAAATGTAGACTAATGGGGAATAATGCAAACGACTATATAATGCCCATCGGTATAAGAGCACGCAATGAATACCGCGTCCATAGAGGGCCGGGCATAGTTCAATTCTTGCAACGAATTGAAAGTATGTGACGCCTTCATTTGCGTCTAGTAATGCGTGTAAGTTATGAAGAGTGTGCATGCCTAAGACAGGCGTAGAGAACGTTCCATCAACCTTGATGTAAACTTTTGGACTTGTGCAAGGAAAGACCATCTTATCTTATGGGACATGGTCTTCCGGACATCAAGAGTCTGTTCGATTTCGAGAAAATAAAGCCGGATTTCTTCAAGGTCTGAAGAACGTGCTCACTTATACTCTGGGGCCCGATTGCCCTTATTGTATACTAGGCGCGTCACAAGCCAATCCAAGCTATCACGGAGACCATGGTTTTCCAATACCGAGACAGGTAGAAGTTTCAGATCGGTGGCCTCCAATTGACTGACGACCCGAATGAACACTCCAGTTTTCAAAGTCACGAGATCTACCGCCTGCGGCAAGTCCTGCTTGTTTGCAAGCATTAAGATAGGTACACTTACGTTGCCGTCCAACGCCCACGATGAGTCGTGAGCAATGTCCATTAGCGTTTCGTAGCACTCCTGGAACCGCTCTGTGTCTGTAGAGTCTATAATGAATATTATTCCGTGACACGAGCGGTAGTAGCGTGACCACATCGATCGGAGCGATTTCTGACCACCCAAGTCCCAGAACTTAAGGTTGATGTTGCGGAACTGCGCAGAGCTCGACATGGATACCGACGATTCATTTGGTTTAAATCTTATCGTGGTTGTGTTCTGGCCCACTGTGGGAAGGATTCTTTTTCCCTTTAAAATTCTCACCGAATCCTCATCCGTGCCTTCCATAGTAGACGAAGATTTCATAACACGTTGATCCTTTTCTTTCAGTGACTCATTTATTGCGGGATAGAGAAGCTTAATGTGCTCTAGAAAGGTGGTCTTTCCTGCGTTATCGAGCCCGAGAATCAAGAGATTATACTGTTCCCTTTTGGTGTACTGTGTATAAAGCGACAGTGCAAGATGAAACATAGTTCTGGTACGAATGGTGAATTTGTGATATTGGTTCCGTAATCCAATGCCCTCTTCGAGGTTCTGATGGGGTCGATGTAAGGTTCTCCAAGGTACGTGTAAACATCTTCCTGCACGGAGTTTTGGGAGATTTTATTTGTTGCGCGAAAAATGGGGCAAAACATAAGACTGCTGCTCCACTTCTAGAAATTCGAAAAGGGAGAATTTCAAGAAAAAAAGAGAGGCTCAAAAAACGAAGGCCACGATTTTCATACATGTACCATGCTGTTGGTTCTGCTATGGGTTTTGCTAATTGATAAGCATTCATATGCATTGAATCCTAATAAAAGGTACACAACTTATTAATGGTGAGTGGTGTCGCAATTCACTTCGAAGCTCATAGTTTGTCATTAATTAGGCGCAAGTAATTTTTAAATGGTTTTCCAGCACCATAAGAGAACATGTATTTGAAGCTAAGGAAAAGAAGAAGACAAAATATATCTCAAAAACCTGTTTAAATCATGGATACCATATGAAACTGGCAGCACGTCGTTCGGATACGAAGGGCTGTAATGTGTCAAGCGAACAGCCCATTTGCTGCTGCACAAAGAATATCCCTTCATGATATCATTAGATTACACAGCCTTTCCGAACAGATCGAGTGCCATTTCACAAATTTTGAAAGGCAATACGAAAGACGGGACGTGCTTTGTTCGTCCCCATTGGGGTTCACGCACGAAAGCCCTAGCTGAGCCTATACATCCGTGCACCACAGCTCTTCCCGGGGTGTATAAAAATGCGATGTTTTCCTCTTCCTTCTTCCTCGAAAGGACATTTGAAATAAGACTCTTATGTGTTACACTTGTGCAATTGTGCCTTGATGTTCGATATGTTAAAACGTATGTGTGATGCTCACAACCAAATGATGATTCATTGATAGGGACAACTGACCTTCGGGTGTGAAGATGTTGTTCAAAGATAGTAGAAAACATATCTGACTGGTAATTTTCACATGATGTTCAAACACTAACAATCTCAGCAGCACTCAAGATCTCGCGTCTAGCGTAAAGTATAGGCAAACAAAAGGACCATGGGAGCCGACCAAGGGAAACTCTTCTCTGGCAGGCTCTTGTTTTGGATTGGTCCAGAAACTTAGTAATTTCAGCCATTTTGGTTTTGTAGGCTCTTTGGTGGCTCTAAAATATCTCATCCCTTCTGCCATTTGTCTATTTGCTCGTATATTGGCGCACCGGGTGGGAATGCAACGTTGCGTCGAATCCGGACGTTTTTTGAGTAAAGCCGAAGGCGCCTCAGTAGAGAGCTGCCTCCGATTTTGAACATTTATCCACATGATCGCGTTCGCAACTCGATTGTTAGTCAGAGCTGTCATTCATGTGTCAACCTAGAACTGCTGGCCAGTCGCGCGGGCACCATCATGCCCCCTTTGCATAGCCATTTCGCCCAAGCTAGTTCGCGACTTTCTACTATAACTAACTGGAACCTTCACGTAATAACATCCAATATTTTCACAATGTCATTCAAATTCCCCAGCTTCAACCTTCAGTCGATCCAGGAGTCTATCGGTAAGGTCGACTTGGAGTCCATTTCCAAGCTGATCCAAAACGCCAACCCAGGGAAAGCCGTGTCTGAGTACTCGGAACACCTTAAGGAATCGATCCAACCATTCACGGCCAAAACACAGCAATTGATCTCGTCCCAATTGCAACAGGTGCAGCAGTTAGCAGCAAGCAACTTGGATGCCAATATCGAAGTCAGTGAATTGCCTGAGGACTACTTGAACTTGGAAGCCAACTGTGATATTTTGTTGAAGTTGTACACGGACTTAATCCACTACACAAACGACACGTACGGCACTCTCAGCTACGATTATCCACCAGGAAACTCGGCGCTCAACAAGATCAAAGATGCGCACGTGGGCCTGATGCTTTCCAGCAAGTTTTCTCAGTTGAAGAACGTGTCGACGCCGCAGGAAATGGAGAACATTCTTTTGGGCCACTCAGCCGCCGCCGAAGCCAAGCCCACTGCCGATGAGGACACTGCCGAAATCCAGGTGACATCAGCCCAGCTCCCCAAAACTTTGTATGGTCAGCTCGCGCAGATTGCCACGAGAAACGGCAACCAGTTTGCTGGCCTGAGCGACTCCTTGTCCTTCGCCTTGTTGCAGATTTCGTCTGCATACATCGAAATTGGTAGCGCCAGATTGGACCAAGACAAGAAGGTCATGCACGAGTTGAACCAAAAGTTGGTTGAAGTGTTGAACGAGAAGTTCATCAAGGTGAACGAATTGCGCAAAAACATGTACGCCGCACGCCTGAAATTCGACTTGGTGAGATCCCAGGTCGGCAGTGAAGATGAAGAAAATGAGGATTTGATCGCCAAGGAGGACGATTTGGTGAGCGCCACAGAACTCGCCGTTTTGGAAATGAGAAAGCTCATAAACCCGCTGGAAAATGTGAATTTGTTGAAGGTATTCATCTCCGCACAAAAAGAGTTCTTTGACATGGCATCCAAGCGATTGGGCAGCTTGGCCACGGAGTTGGACAAGATTGATTTCCAAGAGGATGAGGAATGAATTTGTGTTGCATGAGCATCGGAAACCTTGCGGCTTCCAACAGAGATGTCCCCAAAGTTTTCAGTTTGTTCAAATTAGGAGATGTGCTGATTGGGCAGTATTTGAGACAAAGCCTGTTAACAGAGTCTGGTATGTCGATCGGAAATGATTTTTTTGCGCTAAAGGCTTTGAGCCTCGCGTGTACTTTTAGTGCTTTATGTGATTTAATATATTGTTTTTTTTTCTGAAGATCAGTGGTGACTTCTTTCCGACACTCACTCCAAACCGAACAATAAACACGATACAGTTGGATTGTTTGCGTAATGCGAATTATCCAGAGCTTGCCGAGAAAACAAATCGATAGAAAACATGAAGCTAATCGAGAGACCTTGCGTTGCACTCTAATATGAGCCGACGATGGATGCGAGATCGCGGTTCTCAGTTGAAGTACGCGATCTTAACAAGCCTACTCACCATCTGGGTACCACTTTTTCCATGGATAAGCGGAATGTGGCCAACAAGGCCAGTCTTGTTGAGCCAATAATTCGTCACAGAGTTCAAGACTCGCTTTTTTATAAACAATATCTCCATCTTACCAATGAACAATCAATACTTCCTGTCGTTGCGGAGCATGTTCAATTTGTGGCCGGTACTGACTCTAGCAGTCGCCCCAGCCCATTTTTATGTTGCCTAGTGAGGATGCTAGAGATTGAGCCTCCCATAGAGATCGTCCGCATTTATCTTGACCAAAATGGCTATCAAGAATTTAAGTACTTGACCGCGTTGACTTTGCTTTACTGCCGCATGGTGATGGGCGCAGCCGACTTTTACGTCTTGCACGACGAGTACATTAAAGACTATCGAAAATTACGATTCAAAGGCAAAAACCCAACAGTCACAGACGAAATTCCCGTGCACTACAAGATTAAGCACATGGATGAGTGGGTTGATGAGCTTGCCACAGAAGAGCGGGTGGTGGACATCAAAATACCGTATATGGGCCTACGGCTGGTATATATCGAGCGTGGACTTGTGGGCGAGCGGGAATACGGTGCAGAAACATCAGATGATTCTGAAGGTGAAGAATCTGAAGAATATCAAAGTGATAGTGATTAGTGGTGTGTCTATTTACATGGACCAAAGAGCGAGCTGAGTGAATCACCGAATTTCTTTTCCCGTTCAGCTTGATTATTTGATAACACTGACATCTAGCAATAGATCACAAGCATCAGACAATTATTGCGTTGGGCGCTGGGCTCACCTATGGCGATGATACCTCACACAACGTACACGAACGCCTTGAACACGCTACATTTCAAACACGACATTCATCTGGGCACTGGGCAAGATTTTCTTCTGAAAACAAAAATATCCAAGGATTACTAGACAGCGCAAGCTATAAACTCGACTCTTTACCTAACCGGAGGTCAAATCATGTACATTGCATTGCTTGAAGCTATCAATTTTACTCGTGACATAGTCTGCTCGCTTGTTTGAGTATGCTACAGAAAAGAGAAAAGAACTGCAGGTGTCAACTAAGAAACGAATTGAATGAAGAAGTAATGTCTGAATGTTTGTAGGCGTCATTATGAGCGTGCTTTGGAATGCAGTCAATCCTAACCCAGGGCTGATATTCGTGGCAATTATACTCATACAACTATACAATATTGAATGTGCACACGGCTTCGATTTGTTTTTCAGCATTCAATCTCCCATATTTCAATACAAATAGCAGAAAATCGGTTTACACATGGTCAAACGGATGTTGCATGTTAAAGGAGAAACACGCTTTTTTCAAAAAAAAAAGTGCGCTCAATGGTTGCATTCACGCGGCTCTTACAGTAACATCAATGCAAATAGTGGTATTGATATGAACATGCCTTTTTTACCTAGACGTGTTTATGTCTTTACTTGACATAGACTATCTCGTCTCTCTTTTTTGGCTGACCCCAAGAATGGATCACCGTCAGTGGACCTACCTATACAGGATACTCCATAAATGGAACGTCCGAAAAAAGCCATACCGAAACTGGGCATAATTCTTATTACAAAGCCACGAAACGCATAATGGCAATTACTGAGCTTAACGCTCGCAGCGAGACTTCTGAAGAAACATCAACAGGAACATCACATGCCAAAATTGTCTTCATTGCATCGCTTTTCGTCGTGTCTCTAGCAACTTTTATTTGCCAAACTGAGTTCACTAGTCAGGCATATCTTGTGGGCTTCAAAGAGCCTGTAATTTTGCTATTAGTCACTCATGGATCTTGGTGGCTTTTATGGCCGCTGCAGGCACTCTTCACATCGCTTTGGCGAACATACCTAAAGTACAGAGACTCAAAATCAAACCAAAGATACGAACGGCTAGATTCTAGCGCTTTTCTCTTGGAGCATGAGGCTCCATTACAATCAACTGCCCAAAGTGACAGGGAGCCCCCAACTCCCGCTATGGGTCTGGAAATTGTGGAAACACGGCCGCTTAACATTTGGAAATATTTCAAAAAATGCCTCGTGAAACAGGTCCACAATGTATATCATACATCTATTTTGGTCTATGAGGCCCAGGTGAACGATGACCGCCTGACACACAATTTGCAGCGTTTGATTGATCGGAATACACACATTTCATCAACCTCATCATTATCTGCATGTATCAAGAGTCTCATACAAACACCGGCTTTCAGATATATAGCGGCAAAGACCGCGATCATTTCCGTCGTTTTAAACCTTGCAGGGTTTACATGGTACGGGGCTATGTCCATGACGTATGCCTCTGATGTTACTGCCATTTACAACTGCTCTGCATTTACGGCATACGCATTTGCTATTCCCTTATTAAATGAGAAGTTTTCCTGGTTGAAAGCTGCTTCCGTTATCATTGCAGTGTCTGGTGTGTTTGTTGTCGCATATTCTGGGGCAGAATCTACCGAATCCGAGACCCAATATCCCTACAGACTCCTTGGGAATGTAATTATATCTGTTGGGGCTGTGTTGTATGGATACTACGAAGTCTTATACAAAAAATATGCATGTGTTCCTGACCACTTAGCTAAGGTTATTACACCCCGCAGACAACTGACATTTTCCAATTTTGTGATGGCCCTTTTGGGAATGTTCACCTTGACCTTTTTGCTTCTAGGCATTCTCCTAGTGGAGCTCCTACAAATCCATCACTTCAATTTGTTTAATTACGGAAAGAATACGACCAAGATTTGGGCATATATCGGGGGCTCTATTATATCTAACCTCCTTTTCTCAGGCCTGTTCTTATCCTTAATGGCACTCACATCTCCCGTTCTATCATCTGTCAGTTCTTTGGTCACGATATTTCTAATTGGTATTGTCGAGTGGATCCTTTTCGGAAATGAGCTCGGATTTATGCAATTGCTAGGCGATGCGCTAGTTATTGTTGGGTTTGCAATTTTGACCGCTGCTTCGTGGAAGGAGATCAGCGAGGGAAACGAAGACGATGAAATTGATGCAGCTAGTTACTACTCATTTGCTCCTAGTGTAAACACGGTTAACCACTCAGAGAGGGGGTAATCATGAACAGTTATATCATATAAAACAAAAACAGTCAGATACGTATAAATATTCACCAGGGCATTTCGCCAACATATAGGGAAATTGACATTATTGCTTCATCGGTCACGAAAATCAATATTGATAATCTGAGGATGGAATACTTTACAGGAGGCATCATAACCAACTGTGACAATGCGATGGGATATTTGGGCCTAACTCAGGTCTTAGGATCTTACTTAAACTGATTAACACGTAAACGAGTCTTTGATTTAAAATGGCTACACTTTGTCTTATTTTCGATGCAACAGACTCCCGCAAAATATTGCAAAGATCATAAAAGAAGAATGCATCATATGTGCGAAAGAATGCTTGTAATTACCAAGTCCTACAAATATATATGGAAGCTATACATGAAAAGTGCTTATCATACAAAAAATTGTAGTTATCAGCTAAGAGGAGACATAATATTCGATGAAATAGTGTCGTGAGTGCAAGGGATCTGCTAAAATTCGATAGCAAAAGAGAAGATACGAAAGATGGCGTCTTGGGTATGATATATTTGACATCATCGATCGAACAACTTCATGCAACAAGTTTATTCATCCTCTAATCCTTGATTTTCGGTGTCTTCAAATCGCGCCGGTCTACCACCTCTCAAAGGTTTAACTATTCTTAAATTGAGCCCGACTTTAGGTGATGCTGGAGAAAGATTTGATGTTGTGACCGGTTCCCGCAGTAAATCCTTCACAGGCGTGATTGGCTTCCAATCAGCGTATTGCACAATTATGTCGTCTTCTGTGGAGGTTTCTGTGGTGCTTGGAAGTGAGTCATATGCTAGATTACCCGCTCGCCTTGAAGTTTCTCGGAATCTTTGAGCATCAAGCTTGCTCTTCAAAACCCGAAGTTTAGACTCAAAATGAGCACTCTCTTGGTTCACTTGCATCTGCTGATCATTGACCACAGAGCACAACTTTTTTATCTTCTCATCTCTGTGTTTGATGATTTTTTCGCTGATGATTAAGTGTCTTCTAAGATTTTCGTTCATCAATTCAACGTCCTTGAGTTTATCGTTGATTTGATGTAGTGCGCTCTCAAGCTTAAAAAGCTTCAGATCCTCGCTATGCTCTATTTTGAGATTGTTCATCTTCAATTCCAAAAGTTCCTGCTCCAATTGCATGATCTTAGCATCTTTGCGCTTTAATTCTTCAGAAGATGGGACAAGTCCTGAGACAGTGTGTGTAATTTCTTTTGCATTAAAAGCTCCAGGAGTATTGTCAATTGAGGTCAAATCATGAGAAGGGTTAGGCTGTTTCTTTACTTCCTTTAGTTCCAGCTCTAGCTCTTGGTTTAATCTTTCCAAAAGGCTGACACGGATCTTAAGCTGCTCCATACTTAGTTCCGAATTCACATGGACCGAGTTGCGAATATTTTTGGCTCGCGTGCCAAACCTAAGGGTGGACATGCTCTCAGATGTGCTGGTAGAGGCAGGGGACACGTTGACAATCAACGTCGTCCGAGAGTTGCCTCCCAAAGATTCCTGAAGAATTCTGGTGAGTTTGGAGTCTCGGTATGGCACGTATGCACATTTCGGGTCAGTAAGAGAATTAATGACGAGGCCTAACGTGGAAAGGGATTGATTGATTTTTTTAGCTTCTTCTAGCGTGTTGCCCTGCGAGCCTGAGCGGTCAAACTTCTCGGAGCCGGCCAAATCTACCAAGAACAAATTGCTTTTCTTCAACTCTCCATCGACAGTGTTGTTTTGGGTGAGTGTCACCTGAAATATTGCGTGTGATCGGGATGATTCTGCGTTGAGGGCCGTGGCGCCCTTTTTCCGCAGCTGGTATCCCTGCCAGAAAATCAAGTCCATTTCCTCGGGCGTTGCCACAAAAGCATGTGATAGGCCCTTAACATGAACACCATTGGCAGGATCCTGCTGAATTAGGTATTCACGTGCTTTTGATTGTGGATGGAGGAGATCCACGATATGCTCCTTGTAAATCTCCATGAGTGAAACGCCTACAGTATATTGCACGTCTGACGAGCCTGCAGCAATGTGTTTGAAGATGTTTTCTGCAATCCGCGGAATAAGTCCAAGGCCTGTTCGGGCCCCTTTCATCTCGCCAAACATCGTATGTGATTTACCAGCACCTGTCTGGCCATATGCAAGGATTGTACCATTGAAGCCCTGGAAAAGATCCTCGAGGGTTTTTTTTCCCACCACGTTATACACAGTTTCCTGGTTAGCATCTGACAGAAAGACGTGATCGTATTTGAATGTTGTAGAAGACTCTTTTTCGTCCACAGTAACCGTCTTATCGTCGATATTGTGCACCGATACCGAGGCCTGTCCCACCTCTTCTGCTGAGGAAAAAGGCCGGAGGCGGCAAAAAACCAGAATATTGGAGCTGTTGCTGAAAGAAGCATCCAGATTTCTTCGTAGTGCCCCTTTCACAGTAGGGCTGGTTTTGGGCCTTATACTGGGGCTAGCTCTCTGGGCTGGCGGTGGGCCTGCACCGCCAAGCAGAACGTTCCTTTTTGTTTGTGGTGTCTTCGGTGACTGCGGACCCGAAACTGAGCGCATGATTGCACTTGTATATTGATTTAAAGCTGGGCGAGGGAAGCCTTTTGTGGTTTACAAGTTGGAGTGAGATATGGCTCGGTGCGCTTGACTCAGATCAGCAGATACGCGTGGCTTAATGATCTGCAAGCAAAACGCGTGAAGACTACTTGACACTATCTAACTTTCCTCTACCTCGACAAACCCGTTGGAGCTGAAAAACTATACTGGAAGGAGCTTGTAGAGAAACTTTGATATAAAGGAGGATAACGTTCGCAGGAAATATGTCACCGCCCCATGAGGAAAGTATTACGACTTGCATTGTACTGAAAGGCATCAGCTGATCCAAGCGTGCAGGCGCGCGCGGGTTGATTCACCAGAGTGCGGGGCCCGTCGTATGAAGAGTAAAGGGTGAAGATAAATAACTTCTTCTTTTCTGCAACGGTCGATTCATGTGGAGATGATACATCCAACACTATAGTCATGATTTCAGTGTTATGTGCTTGTTCCTTGTGCATTAAACATGAATCATTTGAAGAAGTCTCTCGTGAATAGTGGTCCGCAACTAAAGCCGCAAAATTAGCTGCGCCCTAAGGCTCGCTGAGGAACCTTTCTTTTTTGGTAGATTCATCTGATTAAAGGGGCAAAACTATACAGGTAATATATATAAAAACCTTTAAACAGCTCCCAGCTACGTACCAAGTGTCTAAACTCGGCCCGTCCCCTCCCGCTAGTAACGGCCTGGACGGTCCTCTTGGCCCGTATCTGTATACGTGTCGGATATTACGTCATCGGCTCCTAGGATCGGTCTCCTGTAGTAGTCGCTTCAACTCAGATGGTTGTGGCGGAGTTAAGGAGCCATGGCTTTTATTGTTGGACAACAATTGGCAAAAATATAAACATGGAAACCCGAATCACTTTATCAGACTTTTGAAAAAAAAAAGTTGTTCTTAAAAAGAAAGCCCGATGCGGGGCTCGAACCCGCAACCTTTTGATTGACCTTATTTTGTTTAAGAGTCAAATGCTCTACCGATTGAGCTAACCAGGCTTTTGATGTTCTTTGTTAGGCAAAGATATTTAAACAAAAGCAAAGAAAGTAAACTCAATAATCAAAGCGCATAAAAATTATCATTATACAACTTAGTCACTATTCAGAGAAAAAAAATATTTCTTAGACGAGAGCAATAAAAAATGCGAGAACAAGAAAAGTTTGGAAGCTCAAACCAGAAAGAAAAGGCAAGGAATCTTTTCTGAGAAATCTTTTCTTTCTATCTGGTGAAATTTTTCTCATAATATGCGATGGCACGGCCCGCTCATTTTGTTCGAATTCGCGGGAGATCGCGTTATCTGATGTCGGGTGAGTTTATGTTAAGCTGCGCGTCTGAATGTGCAAAGGGGTACTTGACGTTTATCAAAAGCGGACGCTGTGATAATACTTCCACCTTGCAAGACTTGACTCATGGCACAGCTCGAATGTCACAAGTTATTATGATGTATATGTTGACAAGTTTGTGGTTGCCAAGATATGTCAGGAACAATTCTGAGGCATCAAAAAGTTTAAAATCATATGGGTCAAAAAAAAAAAACAGCTACAATAGCACAACGCCATGCGGCATCCACGAATGACCGCTGATAGGGCATAATTCCCGCCCGCTTTAGAGAGACATATGATTTTACAATATATAAAATTCCACGAGTGTCGTCAGCGAGCAGTTTCGCTCATGTCTTTTAAATGACGGAAAAATCACGTGATTATGGTTGCCGTCATTTTTGGGTTCTTTCATCCCGTAGAACTCAACAAATCTCATGATGCATTCTGCGGCATGTTCGGATGTATGGCGCAAGTCTTCAATGTTTATAGAGACGAAGGGGGGTTTCATTCATGAGACCATGTAAGAATTCTTCCTGGTTGCAAGGCTTGAAACAGATTTTCGATCGGTCCAATTTTAGGTTAATAAAGCCTGCACACACCATCATTTTTCGGAGTCACATCGGAGTCATCTCTGTTTCCACAGAAACAGGCTGGCGACAATTCCAAATGTATCGCAGGTTTTGCTTCTGAATACGGAGTTTGTTTTGCATGTCGGCCCTCCCACAACTATTGAGTTTGTCCAGCTCTATCAGATCCATAAAGAGCAATCAAGGGATACCCGCACACCCGGAAGTGGCAAAAAATTAACAGAATTGGCTGTTTGCACGTGATGAGAATCTCACTAGAAAAAAAAAGTGACTAATACGCGCCATATATACCTTGAAGATTCCTTCCTCACTCTACACGTTTTACCTGCCTGAATCACTTCAGTTCCATCTTCCAGTTTCGAACAATAACCTTTTGTTTCAGTTACTTGTCTGCTAACAAAAGATTGTCCAGTTGTTTGCTAGTGGCTTCTATTTCACCAGCTGTACTATTCCAGAAAGATCTGTCAACAAAATGTCTGCTCCTCAAGATATTGCCTCCTCATTTAAACAGGCCTTGAACCTCGATTCTGGTTCGCCAAATGCCGTTTCTACCTCGCCTACTCAATCATACTTGAGCCAGTTTGCCAACAGCCAGAAGAACTCCAAGGCATTGAAGCCCTTTTCCACTGGAGACATCAAAATCTTGTTGTTGGAGAACGTCAACATCACTGCTATTGACCTTTTCAAGAACCAGGGTTATCAGGTTGAGTTTTACAAATCGTCTTTGCCCGAGGACGAGTTGATTGAGAAAATCAAGGACGTTCATGCGATTGGTATCAGATCCAAGACTAAGTTGACCGAGAACGTTTTGAGACACGCCAAGAACTTGGCTGTTGTTGGCTGTTTCTGTATCGGTACGAACCAGGTCAACTTGGAGTATGCCGCCAAGGCCGGTATTGCCGTTTTCAACTCTCCCTTCTCCAACTCGAGATCCGTGGCCGAGTTGGTCATCGCTGAAATCATTACTTTGGCCAGACAATTGGGTGACAGATCCATTGAGTTGCACACTGGAACCTGGAACAAGGTTTCCGCCAAGTGCTGGGAGATCAGAGGGAAGACCTTGGGTATTGTCGGATACGGCCACATTGGTGCACAGTTGTCCGTGTTGGCTGAGGCCATGGGTATGAACGTCATCTACTACGATGTCATGATGATCATGGCTTTGGGTAACTCCAAGCAGGTCGACTCCTTGGATGAGTTGTTGCAAAAGGCCGATTTTGTCACCTTGCACGTTCCTGCCACTCCTGAGACCAAGAACTTGTTGTCCACGCCTCAGTTTGCCGCCATGAAGGATGGCTCCTACGTGATTAACGCGTCCAGAGGAACTGTGATTGACATTCCTGCGTTGATTCAGGCCATGAAGTCCGGCAAAATTGCCGGTGCTGCCTTGGACGTGTACCCACACGAGCCTGCTAAGAACGGTGAGGGCCTTTTCTCCAACGAGTTGAACTCGTTCGCCGAGGACTTGTGTTCGCTTAGAAACGTGATTTTGACTCCTCATATCGGAGGCTCCACCGAGGAGGCTCAGTCCGCCATTGGTGTGGAGGTCGGCACATCTTTGATCAAATACATCAACGAGGGCAACACGGTCGGTGCCGTGAACTTCCCCGAGGTTGCCTTGAGAGACTTGGACTTGGACCAGGAGAACTCTGTCAGAGTGTTGTACACCCATCAAAACGTACCCGGTGTGTTGAAGACCGTCAACAACATTTTGTCCAACCACAATATCGAGAAGCAGTTCACGGATTCTAGAGGTGACGTGGCCTACTTGATGGCTGATATTTCTGACGTTGACATGTCCGACATCAAGTCCTTGTACGAGCAGCTAGAGCAAACTCCATACAAGATTGCCACCCGTTTGTTGTATTAAACTGCTATGAAGCACATACTAATATAAAGAAATTTCAAGAGTGCATTTAAAAGCGTGTTACGAGGGCAATTGAGCGGGCGTAAGAACCTGTGTTGTCTTCGCCATTTCTACTAACAAATGAGGTGAGGAAGAATGGTAGCAGGATCCACCAACAGGCTTTCGTGTAGCGCGAGTAACCTCCCTGACCATGCAGATCATTACAGAAGTAATTTCTGTGAGGTAATTTGACAGTGCGGCTCTAATACCAATAACTGATCAAAAACTAGATGTAGTGATGATTCACGGAGCTAAATTAAGCCTCTTTATTCATTTACAAGCTCGCCACGACCCGCACACAGCTGAGCCCGCACATCCGTGCCTCCCGCACCCTGGGTGCGTGCTAACAGTGGCGACGACTAGTCGTCCACAGTAAGCCTAGGAACTACCTTTACAACCGAGACAACACACCCATCCACCCGAATTTTTCTTTAAAATGGCGTTGGTTTCGGCTGCTCCATACATTGCGTTGCTCGCCGAGCATGACAATACGTTGAAGTCACATGCGTTGGCGTCGTTAAACTCCGTGGTCGACCTGCTTTGGGCAGAAATCGCCAACAATTTACCGGAGTTGGAGGATCTTTACGAAGACTCGCTCTTCGGCGATAGGGCCTTGGCGGCGCTTGTGATTTCCAAGGTCTACTACAACCTTGGCGATTTCGAAGCATCTGTCAAGTACGGTCTCCGTGCTGGAAATGAGTTCAACATCGAGGAGAAAAGCCAGTATATCGAAACTATTGTGTCGCAATGTATCAGCATCTACACGGCCGAGGCACAAAAGATATACACCGGTGAACACACAGGCCCAATCAGCGCACAACTCACTTTGATTTTCGAGAAAATGGTGCAGAAATGCATCGCCGCAGGCGACTTGAAGTTGGCAGTGGGCATTGCTGTTGACAGTTTCCGCTTGGACATCATCACGAGAGTCATCAGCGAGGAGTTGGCGCGTGACGAAGAGTCGGGTTCTGCTTTGCTCAACTACGTGTTGACCTGCGCCAAGCTGGTGATCACCAATGCTGCATTTCGTTCCGATGTATTGACTGCGTTGATTGATTTGTTGTTGTCCATGCCAAGCAACCCGGACTTCTTCACTGTTTTTAAGATCATTGTGCAGTTGAATGACCACACTTTGGCCACGAAGGTTTTCAAGAAACTCGTCGCCAGTGGCGAGAGCTTGGTGGCATACCAGGGTGCCTTTGACTTGGTTAGCTCTGCATCACAGGAGCTCGTAGACAGTGTGTCGAAAGAGTTGTCCACTGATGAAACTTTTGACCCGCAGGAGCCTGTTCAAGCCCGTGTGCTACATATCTTATCCGGAGTTCCCACATGCGATTTGGACATCACCTTCTTGTACAAGAACAAAAACATCGACATCTCGATTTTGAACACGACTAAGCATTCCTTGGAGGGAAGAAACTCCATCTTTCATTCCGCAGTCACTTTTGCCAACGCATTCATGCACATGGGAACCACCGACGACTCTTTCTTCAGAAAAAACTTGGACTGGTTGGGCAAAGCTTCGAACTGGTCGAAATTCTCTGCTACGGCTGCTTTGGGTGTGATCCACAAGGGCAATCTTTCGCAGGGTCGTAACATTTTGAAGCCTTACTTACCCGGTTCCACAGGTTCTGCTTATACGAGAGGTGGTTCTTTGTTTGGCCTCGGCTTGATTTTTGCCGGCCATGGAAGAGAGACCATTGACTACCTCAAGCTGTTCATTGACGAGAGCGGAAACTCCGCAGGAACTGCCAACTCAGATGTGGTATCTCATGGTGCTTGTCTTGGCAGTGGTGTCGCAGGAATGGGCTCCAACAGCGAGAGCCTTTATGAGGCGTTGAAGGTGGTTCTTTACTCTGACTCTGCTGTTTCCGGCCAAGCCGCAGGCTTGGCCATGGGATTAGTCATGCTTGGATCGGGAAACACAGAGGCCATCAATGACATGTTTACTTACGCTCAAGAAACTCAACACGAACACATTGTTCGCGGTTTGGCTATTGGTATTGCTTTGTTGAATTACGGCCAAGAAGACAAGGCCATCAATATCATCGACAAGCTTTTAGACCAAGAGAACCCCATTTTGAGGTATGGTGGTGCATTCACGATTGCCTTGGCATATGTCGGAACAGGCAACAACGATGCGATTAAAAAGTTGTTGCACTACGCTGTGTCAGACCCATCGGATGATGTTAGAAGAGCATCAGTGCTCGGTTTAGGTTTCTTGCTTATCCGTGACTACAATGCCGCTCCACAAATTGTTGAGCTCTTATCACAGTCCCATAATCCTCACGTGCGTTACGGCACAGCTATGGCCTTAGGTATTGCTTGTGCTGGAAGAGCGTCTTCTGCAGCTCTCGAAGTCTTGGACCCTTTGACCAAGGATGGCGTTGACTTTGTGAGGCAAGGTGCCTTACAGGCATCTGCAATGATCTTGATCCAACAAAACGAAGCTACGTTTCCAAAGGTTAAAGACTTCCACAAATTATACCTGGATACCATCAAGAACAAGCACGAAGATGCCATGGCAAAATTTGGTGCGACTTTAGCGCAAGGTATCATTGACGCGGGCGGACGTAATGTCACAATTAGCTTGGAAAACACCAACACAAATACCTTGAATACCAAAGCTATTGTTGGACTTGCAGTTTTCATGCAATCATGGTTCTGGTTTCCATTCACCCACTTTTTGTCGCTTTCATTCGCGCCCACTGCCATTATTGGTGTGAATGAAAATCTCAAGGTTCCAAAGTTTGAGTTGAATGTACACAGCAAGCCCGAGTATTTCGGCTATCCACCAAAGGTCGAGGAGGAGAAGGAAAAACAACCAGACAAGGTCGCGAAGGCCGTTCTCTCAACGACGGCAAAGGCAAAGGCTAGGGCTAAAATGCATCATGCCAAAAAGAAGGAAGAAAATGATGAGGACACGATGGAAGTTGATGAATCCGAAAAAGAGAAGTCAGAAGACAAGACCGAAGTTAAAGCTGAGGAAAAGAAGGATATTGAAGAGGAAGACTCTAAGGAGACTCCAGAAAGTTCGTCTTTCGAACAGGTCGGCCTTCGCTACGTGAAAACTCCATATCAGATCAGCAATTTGTCAAGAGTGTTGCCATCTCAAGCTGGATTTGTTTCTTTTATCAAAGATGAGAGGTTCCTGCCCATCCGTAAATTTAAGGGATCAGGTGGCATCATAGTTCTTGAGGACAAGAAGCAGGGTGAGCCAATTGAGGCGATTAAGACCGTAAGGCAAATGAACATAACGGAAGCTCCTCTTCCGCAGCCGTTTACATTGACAGGGGATGATTTGGAAGATGAGCTTGATGTTTAACTCAAGTTGAAGTAGCAGAATACATTAGCTAAATATCGCATGGATAAGCTGTGTTCGCGCAAAGAATTCCATCATCCTATGATCACACAAGCCATAAATATTCTGGGGAGAAATAAACAGAACAGAAAAAAATACTGCGACGAGCCACTAATTTCAGACCTTGACTTCACGGTAGATGCCAAGTATCATCGTAGTTGGCTCAGACTGCGAGTCATACTTATAATCGCATTAGCAAGTTAATGTGCACACACCCGAGAATTAAACATCCTTCCAGTTTCCGCGTCAAAAAGAGTAGTATAATACCATGGATGCTGCAAAATATAGACAGTTAAATATGTCTAATGGGCTGAGTAACACCAGCGCGGTTTCTGAGAAAGCTCTTGTGGGTGAGTATGGCATCACTATTGTGAAGCCTACGGCAAGCCGGGCGACTTATGGAGTGCTGTGTTTTGGGTCCGCACCAGTTTCCAATGCCACTGAAAATCTACATGTTCCGTTCAAAAACGTGTTATTTTGTGAAAATAGCAGCTCTAGTGAAGTAGATTTAACCTATGCGGTGGTAGATGGCGAGAAAATTGAAATCCATCAGGATTGCTTGGATGTTGGGGCGTATACCTTGGACTCGCTGCCGGACATGGCACATCACATAATGCTGCTTTCATACCAACAAGGCAGCAAAATTCCTCGCGTGATGATAGTATTGAATAACTTCGGTGGGCAGGGAAATGCTCGTAAAATATACCAGAGTCAGATTCTCCCTGTACTCCAAGCAGCACACGTGGAATATGCGTACATGGAAACAGAGTACTCTGGCCACGCGTCTGATATTGCACGCGAATTGGAATTGTCCGAATATGACATCATTGCTTGCTGCTCAGGCGATGGGGTGCCACATGAGGTGATGAATGGGTTCTATCAACGTGCCGATCGTGAGCAGGCTTTTGAACAAATTGCCATCACGCAACTTCCCTGTGGCTCGGGAAACGCTTTATCTCTCAGCAGCTTTGGCACAAATAGTGCCGGGATTGCTGCTGTCAAAATGCTCAAGCTGGCCCGCAAGCGCATGGATGCCATGGCCGTGACGCAGGGTAGCACCACCAAAATTTCTTTCCTTTCGCAGGCGTATGGAATCATTGCTGATTCGGATATCGGTACTGAGCATTTGCGTTGGATGGGGCCTATGCGTTTTGATTTTGGCGTTACACAGAGATTGATTACTAATACTACTTACCCATGTGATTTGTTCGTGAAATACGTTTTGAGAGATAATGATGAAATACAGGGTCACTACAATAAGCATAGATTCAACCCTGTGGATGACCGTGGGGCCACAGAGCTGGAACTCGTGGCCAGATTTCCCACTTTTGATGTCCTCCCCCCAGCAGACTGGGAGCAACTTCCGCGGGAGATCACCGATAACCTCAGCATTTTTTATGTGGGTAAAATGCCGTATGTGCTGAGCGATGCACAGTTCTTTCCTGCTGCTTTGCCAAACGATGGGTGTATGGACATGATAATCACCTCTGCAAAGACTTCATTTTTCAAGATGGCCAAATTGCTATTCTCCATCGACAAAGGAAGGCACATAGACTCACCCGATGTCTTACATGCCAAGATATCTGCCTATAGACTTGTGCCTCGGATTGGTGCCGAAAATCATTTCATTTCTGTGGATGGTGAAAGCTTTCCTTTCGAGCCGTTGCAAGTGGAAGTACTCAGCAGAACGCTAACAGTTCTCTTGGATGAGGGGGCGTTTGTTGACACATGTTTAACTGGAGGAAGTTGAGGCGGTGGAAGTTTAGAGGAGATCTTCATTTAATTTTTCAGGGAAACCAAAATTTTTGCCTCACCGTATATCTTGTTCAGCAAAACGACTTCATAAAGATTGAGAGGCCCTCTTCGAGAAGCTTTCTTTCTGTAGTTCTTTATCTTTTGATAAAGCAGTTGGACGGCAATTATCAGAATTTCCAAAAAATTGACTCAGACTTTGAAGCAGAGCAAGGAATCTTTGTTTCTTGTCCTCCATATTTTTACGTTGCATGAACCAGGCCATAAATGCTTTTTTGAAATTCTCGAATCTTAATGCATTCGACTCAATCATATGAAGCACGAATTCGAGTGAGTACTAGGATCGCTACTATTGTTTGATTGGCAGCAGCAGACATTCTTCATTCCTTCTGTATTCAGCCAACCCAGTTTATTCACAATATACTGGGTTTCGAAATCCACAGCTTTTCTACCATTGACCACAAAAAAAGTTTATTGTATTCAGATCATGGTTGATATTGAAAATCGCTTCCTGGTCTTTGCAGTTATGACTATTAACACGCGTATTAATTGCGGAGCTCAGACATGTGTCATAATTCAAAATTTACACTGTTAATATTCAACACTTTGCTTTTCCAGGCATGCTTTATGTCTTGTGATTGTATCAGTGGACCCGCAAATTTTTTTTGCTCATACCCAGTCCTCTTTAAGGATGAGTGAATTTCGATCTGGAAACTAGAAATGACAGTACTGGCTTTTTCGCCTTTCATTGCTTGGGTCTGAAGTTTTCATCCAAAGTTCCACGTGAACCTGAACAACGAAATTGTTTTATTGAAGGGGAAAATTCATTTGGCACCATTGATAACATTTGCTTTCAATAGTCACTACAACTTCTAAACGATACCTCTATATGAAAATGTATACAGACACAGCAACTCTCATCAAGAGGGTATTTATTCCCCTTTTACTGCTTGTTTGCAGGCAGGTTTGTTTTTCGTAAGAGTTTTCCCTCTTCACAGCTTCTTCACTTCCCAGCATCTTAACATACATTTTTGACTGTCGGTGTTATAGGAAAATAAAAACGATCACGCTTTATTAAACACCAAGGAAAATTGCACATATAACGTGTCTGAAAGATCATAGAAAAAATATAAAACTTTCAGCATAGGCAACCAAATATGTGTGAGCAAAGTTCAAAGAGGGAAAATCCAAGTGTATGAAAAAAAAAAAAAAAAAA